ATGGCAGATTACCTTACCCACACGATAGGCCTGCTGGGAGCATCCTGATCTAACGGTACCTGACATGTCTCCTCACAGCTCCCTGCATGTGACTGCGTGTTTCTGCCTCTGTGTGTGAGAGTTTAGGGTCTGCTGGCAAGTGATAGCTGGTGAATCGCAGGTTTTGCCAGTCTGGTGAGTCTGCGTTTTTGGGTGGAAAGGAATTACGTGAAAACGGAAGATTTAAAATTCCTTAATTTACGTCACTTTACCTACCCTCATAGTTGAAGTACTTTATTTCCCCGAAGAGGAAACGACAGTAGTGGTTCAGTCTCCTTAAGCCTCTTCCTCTATCAAAACATTGATGGCCTTCAACTCGACCCCTCGTGACCCCAGCATCTGTTTGAGGAAATGGCCCTTATGCATCATGAACTAAAATGGACTTTTCCTATGGCCTTGAATGAAAAGGTTATTAATGGGATATTATTCCAACAAACTCTGAGAACTGTTATTGCCATATCACACTCGACTGATCTACAGAACGTCTGCCATTTGTGTCCCTGGCGTGTGTGTTTTTTCTTTTTTTTTCACAAGTTACTTTTAAATGTTATTTTTAAATGCAAGTCAGCATTCAACAGTGACATTTTTTCCCTCATCATGATTCTGCCTTTTTACCCTTTGAATTTAAATATTTTAATCATTTAAAAAGTCTTGAAGTTGTGCCACAGTTTGTGCATCAGATCTTTCCATATTTTTTTTTCCTCTATTTAAAGCAATGAGGGTTACATAAATCACCCTCTGAAGAAATAAACGTTCTCTTTATCAATTTATCATCAAATTCCCTTTTTTTTTTTATCAAATTCTGATTCTAAAAAACACCTTGTAGTTTTATTGCTTGTTAGCACAGGATTGTATTGTCAGATTAAAAACACTCTATATGATAGAATATTTAAAAGTGGGCAAAAAAAATCAAACTGAAAAAGACACGTGTTTGATAGAATTACTTGTTTGGGACTGTGGATTTGAACTTATTTGATACCCGTGATCAAGCATTCAAATCAATAATTAGTGGTGCGATCCACACACAAACAGGCTCATTCGTCTCGTCTTTAACACTGACCAGTTTTACCGTGGAGAGCAAGATAAACAAAACCGGTAATCCAGAAATCAAATGAAGACTGTTCTTTACTAATATCACAGATCGTCTGTACACATTCTGACAACGCAGACACTGTCAGAACAAGGCATATGTTCAGCTGACTGCACTTAATTTGCTTAGTGACATTGTAATCTTTGCAAATGATTTTTAAGCTGAACACAATAAGGCCCTCTCATTTCGTAACATAAATAAGTATGCATGAACAGACAATTAGAATATGATCATGTAAATATGAATCAAAGCGTGGGGAAAACATGTCATTGCTAATTGCCCTTCTATTTGATTGCCAGTAGCCACAAGCACTGTTTTTCTCACTCAGTTTTATTCATTTTGAAGTTTACCATGTAGATGAACATTGTTCTGGCCGTTTGTCAGCTTTTGATTAATATGGCATGATGTGTTGTTGAACAACATTACAGTGTGAACTACAGGAGCACCATCAAATGTGTATTCATTTACACAGCAAGGTCAAGACACACGGCATCTCAAACCACAACCCAGTTGTCAGGAGTGTCTGTGAGGTCAGCATGTCACGGTTTATTCTAGAGTGGTTACATCAGCTAAAAAAAATTAAAAAAAACAGCAGTGACCAGCTTTTTTTTGTCAAATTGTTGTTAGTTTGGGACCTCACAAACCAAGTGAAATATGACCATGAATGGCAAACAGTAAAACAAAAAATGGCTTAAGGGAAACATCCTTCAGCAATATAATTTGTAATTTGGTCATTTACATATGTAAAAAGTTAAAATGCTGCTTTTAGCATTTCAAACTTTTTCTTCAGCTTGTTTGTCCAATTTTGAACTTAAAGTTAAAGATATACTTAATTTCTCACAAAGTTTTGTAGGAAAAACAAACATCTTTCCATATTTGACCATTTCAACAGATGTCCTTAATTATTTTTGGTCATTGTGGTTTAGAGACAACAGAATTCTCAGATGCCCGCAATAGTTCAAGTCCAAAACATTTTTTAAATAAATAAAACAAAATAAATAACCCAGCACCAAACACAATACAGTTAAACAAGACTAACAATGTATTTTCTATTTAACCTTCATATATTCTAGGCATTTTTCTAAACAAATCAAAACAAAAAGTAACTATATTTTACATTTGGTCTTTTTCTTTCATCATAATATTCCCTTTTTTTAGCCAGTCTGTATTTTTATTTTTGCCATCAAAATATGTAAATGCAAGAACACATTTTGTTTTTGTCTAACTCCGCCTACCTGCCTTTCGTTGGACAAGCAGTTAGTCCCGCCCCATAACCAGTGGTTAAGTCAATGTTGCTGTACAGGGTCATTGCATATCAGAAAGAATTTTAACATTAAAACAAAATAAATAAATTTACGTCACACTTAAAACGGTGCCTACAAAATAATGGCCGCTGTGAGTTCAAAGGTACACACCTGACATTTCCTGCTTTTCCTGCTTATAATTGGCCATGTCCGACGTTTACATTTTTAAAACCAGGGAAAGTGTGGCATTTACCCTTATGTAAACACACAACGCCATTCAAGATGCAACAGCTGTCGAAGATTTACATGCCTTATGCCAACCAGTTCTACAAACTTGCATCATTAGAGTGTAAATGCTCAGACAGCAAGGTACCTGCAACATGTCACTCACTATATTTGTTATTTGAGCAGACGCAAGTTGAAAGAATGAAAGCCAGCATGAAGCATGCACAAGTGATTTTTTACTGCATTTTTAGCTCAATGGCGTCCATTTACCATTTCAGTTATAGCCATGATTTGTAGAGGATACATTTTCATAGCAGTGGAAATGTTGCATCATAAAAACCAAACGCAAGAGTATATATTAAATATTTAAAAATGTGATCAATTTGAGAACCTTGAGTGTTTAAAGGGGTCATATGATGTTGCTAAAAAGAACATTATTTTGTGTATTTGGTGTAGTGAAATGTGTTTATGCGGTTTAAGGTTCAAAAAACACATTTTCCACATGCTGTACATTATTGTTTCTCCTCTATGCCCCGCGACCAGACAAAACCATTAAAACCCATTATAAACGAGGCATTTGTTGCATCCAGTGGGGACATAATGACGGATTATAATGACTTATACAGTTTTTTTACGCATTGCGTTGCATCGCGCCTCAAACATAAAAACCTATGGGAAGCCAAACAACCCAAATGTGGGACGAAACAGCGCGGTATTAAAGTGTTCGCGGTGACCTGTCATCGGCGCGGCTCGAGCGGCGCGACCGACTCGACAGCGCAGAGAGGACGTGTTTACTAGCGCCACCGAACTGACTGAGCGGCGCTGATCAGTTACAGCAGCGCAGCGCGAACATTACTCTCCGCAGAAGTTCGTGTTTTTTTCCTGCACATAACATAATGAAGAGTTATTACATTTCTTTTGCTTATTATCTTTCATATTACTACATGTAAACCGTAGTGTTAGCTACTTTGAAGCACGTATAGCCTATATTTAGTAGTCCGTGCAGTAACCATGGATTGTCATTTTTTTAAGCCACAGTTTAACTACACATGTATGGTTAAAAGGTTAGTGTAATAAAATCATGGTTAATTTTAATGTGTTTTCCGATAAACCTAAAACACAATGCAGTGCAAAATTCAAAATACATCATATTGAATTTACATACACTGTCCCTAATCTTTAAAGAGTTTTTTTAAATGAATTAAAATGTATTTATTTAATTTGGAGTGTAGAGAAAACCCTTACAAACCGTATCCATTATATAAAATTGCAATGTTAAAGTTAATTAACAACGGTCTCTTTACTAGAGACAACAAAAATCCCATATATATATACTAGGCTATTTAATAATAGTTCAAATTTAAAATGGGCAATATTGTGCTGAATGTAGAACTTGACGACTTTTGCATCCAGTGGGGACATAATTACTGATTATAATGACTTATACTGTCTTTTTACGCGTTGCATCGTGCCGTGTAAACATAAAACCTGTCTGCATTTGTGATCGGAGAAATGACAAACAACAAGCGCTACTCTACACTGCTCAAAACTCGCATTTAAATTATCAGTGGCAAATTCTTTAAATATGAAAACGTACTTACAGACTGTGAGTCAGAACAGCCGCATTTTGTAGTCTACTCTACCAGGTTCAGGAAACCATCCTCCATAAAACACGTTGCACACATCTGATTATTTGGGTTGAACTGTTCTGGAACAGTGTTGTAAATACAACTTAACCACTGATTTCTAGTCGTGTCCTCTCATGCTTCATGCTCTGGCTGCGGTGAGCTGAGAGAGAACAGGACACGCCTAAAAAACCCTAAAGTGTCTCTGGTGGCCGGTGTCAGTTGTGCACAGAGATTGTGGTCCTTGGCCCCGACCCAAGGATTAGGTGTTCCAGGGAAGAGAGATTTCTTGGCCCTTGCCAATCCCCAAGAGTGCTTTGGGAATTGTGTGTTTGTGTATGTGCTTTTCCCTCCTCCCTTCCCACCTCCTCTGCACTTGAGTTTTACGCCATCTTCCTCCTCCTCAAAATGCCCACGATAGCACGCGGATGGTATAATCAGGGCCTGCCCTGGCTGGGTGGGTTTAAAAAGACTGACATGAACGGTGGGGGATCTTGGGCAAAGGAGGTAAGACAGGATATGAAAACAATGGACTCATTGTAGAGAAATGATAGAGGGATGAGAAGGAGATCGGTGGAACACAGCACCATCTACAGGCTGATATAGAGTTCACCATCAGATGATCGCAGGAGGACGGCCAGAAGTGGGTGGGATGGCGTTTCCTTTTATGAGTGGATATCAAATGTGATTGGGAAGAATAAATGAATTCATTGTAGTGATACGGGTGAAATCGCTTTGATAAGAGATGGATTACGTTGGTTTTATAGTTGCAACACGAGAAAGAGTGTCACTTTGAAACCCTCTTTGACGTGTTTCCACATGAAAGGCTTCGACAAACAAGAGAGAGGTGACCTATAGTGACAAAATGCATTCTTCTCCATTTCCTGCATTTTTACGGGCTGCTCTTGAATTTCAAATGGAACCGTTGTATGAATGCCAGCTCCGACGCTTCCGCTCTGCTCCCAAGTCTCTCTTTCTGTTCTCCAGGTGACCGTTTTGTAGCCCCACCACCTTTCCTGTGCCAAAAATGCCAACTGTAACAACAAAGAGTGGCAGATGCCAAGGGAATCCCAGATGAATGACCTCAGTGAAGCCGGCCTACCAAAGAGAAGCAAATATTTACCCTGCGTGTTTGAACCCATGGCGCGGTGCCACGGCTGCCCCTCAGAGCGCATACCAGCCCGATAGTCTTACTCGTCCTCCAACTTTACTCCCTAGGTACACCCTATATGAAGCCAGAAAAATCTTCTTGATTTTCAACCATCGCATCATAGAGCGGAACATGACGGAAAGGGGTATGTTTAAGAGATAAAGGAATATTTCAGGTTCAATACTACTTAAGTTCAATCATAATGATCAAAAATTAATTGACGCTTCTCTTTCTTTAAAAATCAAAAATCTGGATTATACATAAAATTGTAAAAAGCTCCCCACTGACATGTTAAAGACACAAGATATAAACAATATGCATGTTAATGGGATTTTAAGTGATTTAAATTTACATAGAAAATAATTAATGTAATTATAAACCCTACAATGCTGTAAAAATGTTTTAAACCAATATACAGCTCAAACATATGTTTTAAGAGAAGACTTAAAGACTTCACATTTCTGCTTTTAAACCCCAAATTCTTCCCTATTCACTTCTCTTGTAAGTGTCTCTACCACATTTTTGTGATAATCAACACTATGCCAAAATAGAGAATGGAGAACCCAGAATGTTCCTTTATTTCTCCTTTTATTTTTCTTTCATTTTTATCAAACATTTCTTTTTTTTTTTTTTCAAACTTTAAGTCTTCTTATTACCAGTGCTGTCTCTTATTCCATTCAGGTCCAGCACATCCCAGAGCTCAGCCGCCCTGAGACCGAAGTCTCCTTATGGGACACTGACTTCAAAGTCCATTTTGGAAGGACTGATCTGAAGAACGCGAACCGGTCTCTGATAACCAACAGAGCAGTCGGGATCAGTGGAGAAGCCACCAAATGAGATCTCTTGGGCATCAAACACACACAATACATAAAATATGTGCATATCATATTAATGTGCTGTTCTATTCTTCTGTTGAGGTGAAGCTGGTTGGAATATGCTGGCTGTCTTGACTGTGCATGATTTACTCGATAGTAAATAGTTTTACATGGAAAACATATATTGGCTCTAGTTTTGCTCGACTCTTTGACTCAGACTCTCCTCTCGGAAGAATTTGCAGGTCATACCAGGATGCAAAACTGCACATCTGACCCACCTGTGCACTCCATGACTCCATAACCCATCATCCTCCATCAGATTAGCATGTCCACTCCAAGAAATGAGCTCTCAAAAATCAACATTTAATCCCTCAGGAGAACAACAACAACTGCAGTGTGGTACAATATAGAACAGATGTGCAAGATCTTAACCTGGGACAAGAAATGCCTTGATGCTATGTGTCAGCCATCAAACAAACAAACAAACAAACAAATAAATATATCAGACTTAATCTGATAAAAGGGCTCAGAATAGGTGCGGTGCACATTGAGAAACTCTGAAAAACTTTCAAATGCCTGTCTGCATTAGGCTACTGTCCTTTAATCTGACTCCCACCATGCTGGATTGTAATCCCTGTGTCCTGTATGAGCAATCATCAACTACATGATGGGGAAGGGGAGGTTATGAGGCAAAATGGAGATGCGAACAATGTGGTAAGCTCTGTCAAAAAAAAAATGAAAAAGAGGATTGCAGTGGATATGGAATCAATCACTAGAGCTACTGACTTTATGACTCTACTAAGCTCGTTCTACTAGATAGACAGGTGTTGTTGTTTTTTTGTTTTTTTGGAGAACAGCGATCCAGGGTGAAATGTTTGAAAAATTCTTCAAATGGTAAACAAAAAGTAACTTTTTCCTGAAATATGCCACATCAAGCTCCATGTCGAAAATGCATGACTCCAGGAGTTGGCATGCAGCAGCAGTTCCAGCCTGCTCAGCCCACGCCGTCTCTAAAGACCATTAAACCAAAGCAAACGTTTCAACAACATTTCCATCCATTCCTGCTCTAACAGCACGTGATGAGAGCAGGTTAAAGCTGTAAGCCATCAAAGTCTGCCGAGCACCGTGCCCTGTTTGAAACTCATCTGGATCCCCCATAAACACTCAGCTGCTAATTGGCTGCACATGTGGCACTGAGTGCATTTTTGCATGCGTTAGTGTGTGTGTGCCGCAGCGTGTTAGAATGTGCATGCGTGTGTTGGCATAAAACATGGCTTATCAGTCTGATCAAAGACAGCCTTTCCTTAAACTGTCTGCAATATGAAAGGCACACACACAAAGGCAGGAATAGCTTCATGGTAAATATCTGATCCGGAGAGTAATCGGTACCGGTCTCGGAGATCTGGCTCTTTGATCGACACTCCTTTCCTCTTTCGTAGTTTAAATGTGGAAATATATTTATTGGTGGCTCCCCCACATCCGATCATCGTGCTCCATCTGGGCAGGGTGCTAAAAGATGCTCGCCACCAACGTGCTCTCTGAGCTCCCGAAACGGTCCTCGCTTCTTGCCACACAGCATATGAGAAATACCGGAGAAGAATGGCATGCAATTTAATTATTAGAAAGGAAAACTGTTTAAAGTTATCACTTTTATTATTATAACAGGGCTCCGAGAAGCACATAATTAAAAAAAAAAATAATAATTTAAATTAATTACTTGCTTCAGATGACTACTTTTATAGATGATCTATTGTTGCACAAGCAAATATCGCTACTACACTCTTAAAAATAAAGGTGCTTCACGATGCCATAGAAGAACCTTTTTGTCTAAATGGTTCCATAAAGAACCTTTAACATCTAAACAACCATTCTGTATCACAAAAGGTTCTTTGTGGCGAAAGAAGGTTCTTCAAATTATAAAAAGGTAAGAAAGAGATGGTTCTTTAAAGAACCTTTGACTGAATGGTTCTTTGTGGAACCAAAAATGGTTCTTCTATGGCATCGCTTGAAGAACCTTTTGAAGCACCTTTATTTTTAAGAGTGTAGGTGTTGCCGATAATAAAAAAGAATGAATTAAAAAAAAATAAAAAATTGCATTAATCGCGTATGTAATTATTTAAAGAAGGGGTATGCACCTCTGCCTCCTCTCCATATACACGATCTGAGATATATATATATATATATATATATACACACAAAAAAAACTACACAATATTCATGATACATACATGTTTGAGGTACATGAATGCCGATAGCTGGAGCTGTGCAAAGTATGGACTTGCATTACAGCTGTACTTCAAGCTTGAATTACTTCAACGATAGGAAAATCCCTTATGGAATTTATGTTATGATTAAATGCATTACTTTTTCAACAAATTACTTAAATAATAAATAAGAAATTGACAGCACTGATTGCCATGTCATACAATTTCATGTAGCAGAGAACACTTATCCCAAAATAAATCTAAAGCATAACACAATAACATAAAAGCTCATAATTCTATGAGCACCTATAACTAAAACATCTGTAAATATCGTACATTTGAGTGTGTTCAAGTACAATACGTCCCTTCAGTAGATCCATGAAAAACATGTAAATGCATCCTGTTTGAATGATTAATACAACAACACTGCAAGCCAGTTAAACATAAGTGAACCTTCTGAGATCATGTGACTAACACGGTGTCTTGCTGGGACAGGGTTGACAGAGTCATGACATTTCACCCCAGTGCATCACTGTGTTGTCTGTCATTTTGAACATGACTGAATGACGGCTATTTACATGCCCTAAGGGACAGTATTGTGTGGCAGGGGCCAGATCACATGCGCAAGGTCCACTGAATTGAACGCCTGTTCTAAAGGGGAATTTCTGCCACTGTAGAATCCTTTCAAAAACAACATCCATAAACTCATACTTGCCTCTAAATAAAGTCATAAACTGTTATGTCAGTAGGTTTAGAATAGGCCTAAGGGATTGTTTGGTTATTTTGTTGCTTTTTTGCTGAAAGACATCATTTTATAGAAATTCTGTAATTACATATTCACACGAAATGCACACTGAGATGCTTAAAAGAGTTTACCCCAAACCACCAAGTTGTTTAGCTGTGCAGTTACTAAAGGTAAAAAAAATAATAATAATCATTTAGGGCTTTTATGGTTGCTGGGGCCAAATGCTACTCTAAATAAAACCATTGCTGTTAGGTATGTATCATATCGCCACATTAAATAACCATTGGTGCACAGGCAGTGTATTGACAGCACGCAGGCCAACACAACCTCAAATGTCACCTATAAGACCATAAGCCACTTTAGGGATTTCAGTGATGCAATAGCTCACATATCATAATCAAACAGAGTCTGGATGTGATTACAAAAGAGCCAAAGGCCTCAAGAAATCCTGTCCTCTCAATAACAAAAGGATTGCTTTTTCTCCCGCTAGCTGGCCACGTTCTGTTTCACGACAGAAACAGCGCCACAAAAATGTCTTAAATAGCCTTATCAGTCTGGTTGGAAAACACAGGCCCCCGATTCTCGCTCCGTACACCAGAAATGTTGCCCTTCAAATGCTTAGAGAGTCTGGAGTTATTTAGCTCTGGTCCCCAATTCCAGGCCCGTGCCAAACCCAGAGTAGCATTGGAGGATTGCGTTTAAGAGCTGGCACAGGATAGCTCGGATACTTGTGTGCAAAGACACTGCCAGAGGGAGGGTGCCAAGAGGGCCCATCTCATCTCCAAGCTGTAAGCAACTGGAAAGTTTCAACAATTGTAGCGTTACATTTTGTCTTGGACTGAAATATTTTGATGTTCTGTGTATTTTATTTCTTGCATTGAAATCACCTGAACAAAGCTAAATATTCATCATTAATGCAAGTAATATTTGTGTTGAAAACTGTCTACATATTTTAACTAAACAAATACAAGTAGAAGAATAGAAAATAAAGAAAAACATTGACAAAGAAAGTAGCTATCATTAACATGCAATCAAAAACTACACAATTGACCTCAAAGCTCCGTAGCTGATTTCTACTGGAATATATCATTGCTTGATCTATGCAAGTTCTATTACCTCCAATGTATATCAGATGGAGAGGAAATAAAAAGGATTCACAGGCTGAAGTGATGCGTCCCATCCACCTTTTTGCCAACGGGAGTCTACGAATCGGAGGCAAGTGGTGGCGAAGCGGGGCTGTGAACCTCTCATTTGCAAGAGCACAGAAGTGTGTGGCTTAGGAAAATGGCTGTAATAGCAAACATGTGTGCCATATGTAACATGTTAGTAAAGTCGGGGGGTCTTTTCAGAGTGGAAATCTTGATAGTTGCTGATAAAAGCCCTTTCTTAATTTAGTTGACTATACAGGAGGAAACTACTACATGTACACACAAGCACTAGACTAGACAGATGAAGCAGGGTGGGGGTCGCTTTATGACTTTTACTTTTATACAAGAGCCCACAATTCTTTGATATCGCTTTTACAAAACAGTTCAATGAACATTGTCAGTTTTGAGTAGATTACGTGTTAATTATTCCCAGTTCCCTCCTTAGCTCCGCCAATATAAATAAATAATTCCAAACAAAGCCTAGCAGAACACCAAGCTACACAACAGAGGTGTTTTTCGTTCAAGAATGATTCCGTGTTTTGAGAAAAAAAAAAAAAAAAAAAAAAAAAAAAAAAAACAGTTGGGAGCAA